CACACATCTCTCAGTAATTCCAACCTTTAGCACATGCCAGGCTTGGCTCTTCCATGCTCCCGCCCCATCCCAACCCAGCTGTACCTCCCTATCTCCACCCTTGGCATCTCTGCTGCCTTGGATGGGCTGTGCCCTCCCCACCTCACTCCTGATCTGTGTTTACAGTGTCTTTCTCTTGCTGGACAATATTTAAATGCACAATTATAACAAACAGATGGGATCGACCCCTGTGGTGATTTTGAGAAATTTTTTATTAAAGCACAGTATTAATCATGGTAATTGGGTAGGAACTTTAAGGTTATAAAACTACAGCATGTCTAATGAGCGAGCTCCTTCTAGGAGGAACTGAGGTTTTTAATCTAATAATGTCAGTTTTATGGATTATGACTGGAGTTTTATGAAGTGTGATATGAAATACTGTGGATTCATGGCTCTCGCTGGATTAATTTGGAAAAGTAGTTTTCCTGGTTCTAGGCCCAAAAACAATTATTCCTTACATTTCTGTCCCCTGCACTGTTCCCAAACCCCTCTGTCAGAAAACGGGCACCTACACCCATAACTTTTTTACAGGTTGCACTCCTTTGTTTGGCTGGGGTTTATTTTTTTTTTTTTGGAAATCACAGATTGTTATAAACATACAGTAGGTAGAGGAAGCTCATATTCCGTGTCCCAGACTGTATATTTGTCCAGAAGGAACAACAATGGGCTGTAAACTCTTAAACAAGGCCCAGGGCTCCGTCTGAGCACAAGGACAAAGTCACCTCACAGCACTGGGGCTTGCTGGGATTAAGCCACTGGAGCAGAAGAGCCAAAACTGGGATGTCTGGAAAGACTTTAATTCATTTAAAGAGAAAAAAATTACCAAAAGGCTGGAGGAGACCTCAAGACCCATCCAGTCCTTCCTGCTGCCCCAAAGTAGAGTCAACTCTCCCTGCACCACAGTGTGTTTGTTAAACTCTTCCTAGAAATTTTGTTCATGTAGTTTTTCCCAAAAGTTATCATAGGCATGGGCAAAAAAAATTCCCTTAAATGACAACAGCAAAAATACTTAATTTTCCCCTATTTGTAATTTCCCCCTATTTTTAATTTCCCTCCTATTTTTAATTCCCCTGAAGTTAATTCTTGTTAACTTCTTGACTGGGTATTTGCATGAGGGTTTAATCTCTGCTTTCCAGAGGTGTTTGGTGCAGAGAAATACCCAGGGAAATAGTTCTCTCTGTCCAAGAGCACCTTCCCAACTCACTGGGAATATCAGGGAGCGAGGAAACACCCCAAATTTGGTATCCAAACAAGGCAAAGGCTCCGTGTTCCCTTCCCACAAGATGATAGGAGGGAACCCACATATTATTACCACAAGTAATACAGAAATAAGGATATAATAAACCTCAAGACACACATTGCACAGTTGCCCACACACCTCTCATTGGGCTGAAGAAGAGTAATTTAGAGCCAGAGGAATTATTTAGAATTCAAAGCATTTTATAATTCACATATCATATAGAGATTTTTCTTTTCCTGACTAACTCTGACTGGGGTTTGAACAAATATATTAAAAAATACCCATATTTATCCCTAAAAAGCAGAGGTCGGTATTAATAATATTTATATAAATTTATAAAATTTATAAATATATATTAACAAATACTTAATGACATTATATTTATATATATTTATATTTATACCTTTAAAATATTTAGAAATACTTACATAGATGGCGATTTCTCTGAACTTGTAAATGTATAGTGGAAATACTGAGGAACAAAACAACTACAGACACAAATAGAATCGTGCACAACCTTCACTAAAACCTGCCCTTCACCTGGGTCAGATTTTGACATATTACAAACTGCACTGTCAGGTTTTTGCAATTCCAGGTCTAAAGCTCCAAACAGAACTGCTAAAGCAGGAGGGACCCAAACCCTTTCCATTCCTGTCCTACATCCCCCCATTTGTTCTCCATCCAAACATGCAGCGACAGAAATGTCTCACTCCCTCCAACCACTGGAGTTCCCACAGATTGCAGGATCTGACTGCAGAGCATTTCCAGGGATAAGCACCACTTCCAGATTTTCAATGGAAAAAACGTTAAAGAGAAGCAACAGAGTGAAAGTGGAGTGATTATGGCTTTATATATAAATATATATATATATATATATCTCCAAATCTCACACTTGAGCACTCCACCTTACCTCCAGGTCAAGCCCGCCTGACCTCCTCCTTTCCTCTCAGGAAGAACTTCTCCCTGGAAAGGGTGGTCAGGCCCTGGAAGGGGCTGCCCAGGGAGGTTTGGAGCCCCCACCCCTGGAGGTGTCCCAGGAAGGCCTGGCCGTGGCACTCAGTGCTCTGGGCTGGGGGACAAGGTGGGCATCGGGCACAGGGGGGGATCCATG